GAAAAGGGGCCCTGGGCAAGGACACGGGTGGGGAAGCCAGGGGGTTACTGTAAGAGCTGAACTTTCGTTTCTGTGTGGAAACTGTTGCTGAAAATTTAGAGATGAGAGATGTCAGGCGAAACTGGCGTGACACATGCAGTGATCCCGCTGGAAGGTACCATGATCGGCAGGGAAGGGGAGGATGCCACATCTTTGTCCATCGCCCTGCCGATTGACGTCTCCTCATACGCAATTCCACTTCCACACCTCCAGTACTTATCAATATGTTCGGTGCTGATTAGATGGCAGGCACCTTCATTGACTCAAGGAGCAGCCGCTGGGGATGGAACTGGATGCAGCAGGAGGGTAGATTTATCGGCTTAGTTTAGCACTAATAGGTTTAGCAGGGACCGTAGCGATCCGTGGGTACAGTTTTCTTTTGTATATTAATGCATATTTGTTGCCGCAGTATTTTCGTAGTACTTCTTATGTGCTATTTATTTGTTGGCACAGATCTTATCACTTTCTTTTCTCACTTATTCACAGCAGCCATATNAACTTATATATGTAACTGTTTCTTAAGTTAACATATCGGTAGTGTGCTTGTATCCCAACAGCTATTTGTTTTTCCTTTGGCGTTGGATTGGCGAGTGGCATGAATCTCCATCGCAGGCCACGCCAGCTCGACAAGATAAATTTGGAGCAACTTTTCCTCCACCGTTTCCGAATTGTGTTGTTGCTTCTGTCGAATCTGACGGTCTGACAAAAATCTTCTGACAGACAAATTTTTCTTCTTAAACAGAAATCAAAGTAATTACTTTCACTGCCATTGTATTAAAAGCACAGTTCACTGTAATTCGTGGTTTTTATTTTGAGTGAAATAATGAAAGCCATGGTGCAGGATAGTGCAAGGGTGGTGAACAAAGTGCAAAAATCGGCGTACTTTGAAAAATACAAAACTTCAGAAAAGTAGCAAAAAGAGTTTGTTTGAGATGACCGTCTGGATGTCTCTCACACAACCGTTCTATTTTCATCGCCATGTGAATAGTGCAGTTATAAAAAAGGCGGCATAACTCGGCCACTTATAGTGTGCGCGTCGGTCAAACCGATTTTGAGAAGGCCTTATGACTTCTTGTTCAGAGCGTTTTTCGGCCCAGCAACATCTCATGAACTATTTTCGGGGGCTACAGATTCATCATAGCGGGTAATCTCAAAATTTTTTTTATCGTGAGCTGTGCTTTTGAACATCAGAACATGACCATACTTTGGCAGATGTACTGGGTACTCTTTAGTCATTACTCATATTTCCGCAATAAATAAACTGGTTCATACGTTGAGCTATCCTCTAACATAGGATTTTTACCTCGTCTCTTATGACTTTTTGTAACAAGGTGGTGTTTTGTTGAAAACATTGTTCGTTAAGGAAATTTAATTATACATAATTAGAAGAAATGAGGAGTGTATCAAATGAGTATTAGATAATTTTGGAAAATCTAATTTATACTCAGAAACGAAGGACGATTCAACAACACGTGTCTTCAAATCAAGGAAACAGAACTGGCAAATCAAAAGAGATACTTGCAAAAATTACGGTTTCACCTGCAACAATTAATGGAGTACTCTAGTAATATCACAGTAGAACGCAGTTTCTTGAGACCCATGTGCCGTTGACGGCTCCACAGCATGACTCAGGTCAGACTGCTACGAAGAGGACAATCACTTCCTGCCAAATTTACTGAACTTTCTGATGTCGCAACTATTACGTACCTTACAGTTGGTGCAACTTTTCCCAGAACACCCAGTCCGGTATTAAGAAAGAACCGCCCATTTCTTCTGAGACTCTTGAGTGTTTTTCTATAGTCACATAAGAAAAGCATGACGACGATCGGATCTAGCACCGTATACATCGTCACTATTAGTGGGGTAAATGAATACCATCTGAAATTGTACGACATTAGCATTGTAGCCTGAGTGACTGTGGTTATATGGAAAGCAGGTTCGAGCCGATTTGCATGATTTGAGAGAAGATTTGCAACGGCAGATAATCTTTAGAAGGTGCTCAGTTGTTCACATAAAGAGATAGACGAAGGCTCTTTTCTCTCGAGATTCGGCTAAGAGTCAGGAACAGAGATGAATAAGCAAAACCAGTCGAAGTAATCATTCAGCAGCTTACTCGAGAGGAGCACATCCCATTATCGTAGAGATATACATCACTGCTCGAGACAAGTACGAAATGATAAAGGGTATAGCCGCCTGTAACAGGAAGAGTCTGTAATTGCTTTTTAGATATAACTATTATTCACTTCTCGGTACAAACTGTGAAATGTCTCCATGAAAAGAATACCTGTATTGTTAGTGCTTTTAAAAGGCGTGTCTGCAGCGCCTTCGTTTTGGGGCTTAGGGTGGATTTCTTCAGCGTTCTATACGTAGCGATACCGCATACTAGCATAAGTGCAAATGTGATCGCCATCATGGCCAGCGTTAGAAATATACCAATTGTATTCGACCAATAAATGACCAATAAGTCTCCGACTTTTTCCTGTACAAATAAATGTCCTCATAAATTACAGGTATTGTAATGATGAACATTAAAGCACTTTTTACTCTTACATGAGTAAAAATACAAAAGAAGGACATGTTGCGAACATCAACTCCTAGATCTGCCCATACAGATGCTTCAGCGTACTTGTAATAGTCTTCAGTAGGAGTTAAACAGTAGAACGTGATAAAGCCGTACAACAAGCCCCATGAAATCACTGATGCAGCAATAACAGCAGCGTAGATATCTTTTTCGAAAAGGAGATGAAGTTTTGGCCTGAAATGTCATAAGAGGATTGATCGTGATGGCTGTTTTCATAATTCATCATACCGAGAGTCATGGGCCTTTGTCCACAACTGTTTTCTATTGTTCTGCAGTGTTAAACGCTGGCGAAATCTAACATTATAACTGGTTTTCAGATGTGTTTGAACCGTTTTGAATGTAAAGAGCATATTAAATCCAGGATAACACTTAATCTGACCAGTTCATCGCAATTCTTCTTAATGTCATTCAAAAACTAAGCCCTCATTATCAATAGAAGTAGATTTTTGGAAAAACGACTAAGGCTTCGAAAGAGCCTCTCAGAGACCCAAAGATGCTTATGATTGAGCAACCATTTCGGACGGTTCCGTAGCGTTTGAGGCTATTCATTTCAGCCGTTTGTACTCTTTTTTCTTTACCTATACTTCTATTTCTGCTTGCGCGTCGGAGGCGTCTGAGGGAATGGCACTTTGCAAGCTTGCGGTACCATTCTAGGGAGTTTACAGTAGCGTATAGAAAATGGCTATAGAAAAAAGCTGTGCAGAAGGAAACTCCCTGCGTGCGGAGCATTTAAGAATATTGAGGGAGTAGTGAAGAAGGTATAGAACATCCGGCTCCGCGCTCACGTTTTCAACACTGCTGCTCTTCCTGCTCTGACGTACGCCTCGGAAACTTGGACTGTACGAAAGAAAGATGAGCATGCAGTCCGCGTTACTCAACGCGCTTCGAAGGACGATGCTCGGAATTTCCCTATACACCCAAGTGCAAAAGGGAATCCGTAGTTCCGAGCACCGTCGTCGAGCGAAGATCAGGGATGCCGTTGATTACGCCAAGAAATCGAAGATCAGGTGGGTCGGACACGTTATGCGATATAGTGATGACCGTTGGAATAGAGCGGTTACTGACTGGATCCCTCGGGATATCAAACGATCTCCAGGACGGCCGCCAACGATATGGTCAGACTTCTTCACGAATGCTCTGAACGAAAGGAATGTTGGACCTCGTGTCCCTGAAGCGAAGACGATTCACTGGGCCACTCTGGCTCAAGGGACGAATGGAGACGCTACTGGCGCCCGCTCGAGAAAATCGATGATCAACGAGACTACAGGTGATACAGATGATAGAAAATGGCATGTCAGTTGTATCAAACTCCCATTGCAGGGATAGACTAAGCGTTTTCCTCTTGTGTAAGTCGCTTCAAGGAACCCATTTCTAGTAATGATAAGGTTTCGGAAGAGTTAATTTCTCTAGTCATTGACCTTTTTAGGACGAGAAAGGGAGGCGAATGGAAAAGAACTTCAGAGTTGACTCATGTTACCATTCTTGGACGAATCATATAGATTATCAACAAAGCACAAGAACCTACATACCTGCAAACGGCAACATATCTGTACACGAAATGAAGAGTCAAAAGAGCCGTGTTTGCCCCATACATACCGATGAAAGCACTGAGTAACGCTCGACCCCATGGCTTTATAAACCCGAAAGTTCCTTGGCTATAGGTCATAAGGGAATTTCCATAAATGTGGTTACTCTGAAACAAAATAAAGCAAATACTTTATCGAAAAAGTTTATTTTCTACTTGCTACTATTACTTCCTTGTTATGAGCTTTGAATTATGTTGCCATCAAAATTGTCTATAAATTCGTTTCGATGAAATTTGTATTCTGATGGACCACTTGAAGGATTAGACGAATATTTCGTTCTGATTTCTCTTAACAAGAAAATCAACTAAATATAATGGTATAGTAGTAAAACATTTTACCGGCTTAACGAAGAATTCCGTTGCTGCGAACATAATGTTGAAGACAGCGAAACATGACATTATATTCTTGTAGGCATTACTAATTGTACCTCGAGTACCATTTCTTATTATATAGATAAATATCAGGTTTAGAACTGTTCCCAGAATTAGAATAACCACTGATGTGTTGATCACAATCAGTTTTACGTCGACCATTATATCTCTGGAAGATAAAAGTGCAAGTAAGCACAATTTAACGTAAATTGATGTTGTGGCATTAAGTCTTTTGTCTACTGCTTGAAAAACATTATAAAAGCTTAATATCTTAATATTATGATTATGATTTCTTATCGGAAATAAAGAAAGAAAGAGGAAAGAACAACGAAAATAATAGAAAGGCAAAAAGAAACACAAACAAGCTTCCGATAAGCAGTAGTTTCAAACTAATGCGGAACAGCAGAGGGATCTGCGTGAAGAGGGATTGGAATTCGTCTCAGGAGGGCAGTGGCCGCCAACACTGCAAGCTCGTACAGGACGACAAATGTAGAACTCCGGATACCGCTTTAGTAGGTCCGTCAACCTGCCGAAACCCAAAACAGCGTCGCATAAGTCAAGGGGTTAGTGTTATGCACAAAACGAAAAATCAATTATTTTTCAAAAAAGTAGACATAAAGTAACAGTTTTCTGAGTCAGACAAAGTTCCTTACTATATATAAAGCGCTCTGTCTGTCTGTTTGTTTGTTTTTACGGAAATTCGATATAACGTGAAAAAGCACCTGGAGGAGTCGGGTCAAGTTTGGAATGGGTTGAGCATAGGGTAGGTGCAACAGAGCGCACGTGAGCCTAGCGGAGCCACGCCTCCAAGCGGCGGGGTATGCGCCGGAATGGGACGGTGTCATGGGCGAATTCTTCTAATTCGGTCTCATAACCTTCCAGACACCGGGAAAAAATGTCCAAAGGTGAGGGATGGGTCAACAATCAAAATAAAGGAAACTTACCGGCGGTG